CTGATTGTATTGCACCAGTCTTACAAGTTATAAAATATAATAAATGGTAATTCAAGCTTTAAGACCCAATACAGTCTACTTGTATGTATATACCGGCTGCGATATATAAATTTTCGTCTAAATGACGCAAAAATGAAAATAACACTGACATCTCATTTTAGCAGATATGCAGGTTGCGATGGATAAATTGTCGTCTAAATAATACAAAAAATGAAAATAACACTGACAACTCATTTTAACAGATATATTTACCAAAATTATACAAAAATATAAAAAAAAAATATACAGAAAAAAGTAAATTTATTCAATAAAATCACCATTGGCTTCAACCATGGCCTCCAAATGACTTCAGAATCTCCTGCAACTCTTCTGGACAGTCTCCTTGTTTAAGCTGCCATAATCCTTGCCTTCAGTTCATCTTTTGTGTTACAAGGAGTTTTGTTGGTCTCTCGCTCAACTGTGCCCCACACATAATAATCAAGGGGGTTGCAGTCTGGGAAGTTAGGTGGTCAGATGTAAGGGGTGATGTGGTTGCAGAAATTGTTTGACAGCCATGATGGGTTCTCCTGCTTGTGTGGCATGGCGCAGAGTCATTTTGCCAGACATAGGGTCTTCCAGCAGCCACCCTTCTTGACTCAGGGCAACACTACCTACTCAAGGCACTTGATGTAGGCATCCATGTTGAATCTGAGGCCCTGTGGGAAGATGAATGGAGGCATAACATAACCATCACTAGTGATCACTCCAAATACCTTTGTAACCATTAGACCCATCAAACTCTTTCCAAATCCTCTGCACTGTCCTCAAATTGACACTGAAACACTGTGAAATGTTTGTATCGGAGTTTCTGGAGTGAATGCCAAGTGGCACAACATGTTGTTTCCAAATTTCTGGTAGAGCGAATTGCGTCATGTTGCTCTTTTTCTTACAGACAGTGCCCAAGTGACCCTATTATACTGTGCGGTTGACTAAAACAAAACAATGCGCATGCATGAAATTAAAAATATAAAACAGCAACAATTTACCCATCTCACCCTGTGTGTGTGTGTGTGTGTGTGTATATATATATATATATATATATATGTGTAATAAAAAAGTTAATGATCAGAGTTGAATTAGACCAGGAAACACTAGTATTAAAAAGTGCTCATTGATATTTCTCTATATTGCCAGTTGTCTTCTTTCATTGTGGAAGAGTTTGCCGATGTATTTGTCCCACCTCTGAAGTATTTTTTCTTTCTCTAATACCAGTGTCCTATCCTTGAATTTTATGTTTCCTGTTGATGAGCACCTCTTTTCTCCTGTTAATTCTCTTATTTTTTATGCATATCTGCTTTATCTGAGATACTCATTCTTTCTATCTCTGCGCACTTATCATTGGGTCATTCCTCTTTAACCTGCCTGCATTTGTTTCTAATTTCTTTGTGGAATGTCCTATAGTCTGTGCCACACCTAGGCATTGTTTTTTGTCTTCTTTTCATCTGTCCATTTTTATTTTCTTTGGGATGATCTTGATTGCTGATGTTATTAAATCTTCTCTTAATGTGTTCCACTTTGAGTTTCCATGCTAATTTTGTCCATTGTATCCACTTTTAAACATATATATATAATCTTTCACATTCAGGAGTCTGTCATAATGCAATTTGGGTGCTGCTTTAGTCCTCTTCAGTTTCTGTAGTTTTACTCTAAGTTTGCATTTCACTGGAAGGTTGTCAATCCTACAGTTGGCACTTGGGTATGTTTTGCAGTGCAAAATGCATTCCTGAATCACTTATTCATAGTTATATAGTTAATTTGGCTTTTGTTTCTCCTTCTAGGTGTCTTCATGTCCATAAAATGTTACCTGCCAGAATTACCTTGGTGGAATATTTTTTTATTATTATTTAGAAACAATATTTGTTATTGATTTGTGTGTGTGTGTATATATATATATATATATATATATATATATATATATATATATATATATATATATATATTATTTGCTGTAAAAACAGTAAGCTGAATATTATTAGGCATAATTAAAAAACTGATGGTAAAAAAAATGAAAGAGGAAAATAACCAGTTTCACTTCCGCTCTTCAACGTTTTTAATTGGGAGGAAAAGAGTAAAATACAATAAATCTAAATTAGCGAATGATTGATGAGAGGATAGAGAAGGGAGAAAAATGGAGGGAGTACTAGAGTTTAATGATAGCAAGCCCTACCAAACAATCACGCTGTTTACAGAGAGAAGGTTGCAAGACTTTGATATACAGTGACTCTAGTACTTTTAGATGAAATAAAGAGTGTGACTGGGACAAAGCAGTAAACCAGTCAACAATGAATTCAGCCGCACACTTACAGTTCTTTAAAAGGTGCTCACAAATTGAGGACCCATAGGTATTTGGGATTAGTTCATTTGAAACCAATGCGTGATTCCTGATCTTACCTGGCACCTGTTGTTTTATCCTCACATCTAGTCACTGGGTAGTCCTCCCTATGTAGCTGACTCCACAACCAGAATAAACTTGATGAGGGGAGAGAACATCCTTACGGATAGATGAGAGGATCGGCCTGGTATTGAACATGCCTCGAACCTCAGCCGAAAATAACAATCATGGACACTAGACAAAATTTGCCTGGAGAGGTTTTCACATCCAGCTCTAATCCAAAGAAGTCGGTATGTGGATGATATTTTTTGTTTATTTCAGGTTGAATAAAATGTCTCTATTAGCTACTGCAAATAAATATGCTCTACTGCCTAGAATGGTGATTTGGAGATTCTGGTTGTAACCATTAAAGTGATATCCAATCAGTCGATTATCACTCAATTTGGTTATGTGTGTGTCTGTATTTTCACACTGGCCTGGGAATTGTGAGTCTGCTCTTTAAAGACAACTGTCTTAAACGCAATTCCAGGCTATTCCGAGCCACTGAAATGCGGGTGTGTCCCTCAGATCTAACATTTGCTCTGTGTTCAGTGGGGTAAAAATGATCACCAAGCGAAACATGTGCTGGTTATATATAGATAAATATTTTCCTATAACAATGATTGATGACTTCTTTTACCTAGACAGGTGATAGAAAATGACAATTCACAATGCCCAATTTAATTATCTCTATATTCCCATACATTGACACTCTGGCTTTTCTCACCTGCACCAGAAATATCAAAAAATGATAACTATAAAAATTGCAGGCAATCATTGCAGAAAAATGCACATCCTAATTATCTTTCTGTAATGACGCTTATTTCCTGGGTGGTTAACACAACAAATTCTACATAAACCAAATGTTCCCTGGTTCTTTAGATAATTATTTTCTGTGACCACACACATTCTCTACTGATAATGTATTGTAAACAATGTCCATTTTCTAGTTTCTCAGGACTCAAACAATTTGGACAATATATTGTCTCTTTCTATCAGCAGGAATTGGATAGGGTTTGGAATCTTGGTTTTGCTCAATGTTATCAAATCTTTTCTAGTTAAATCTGAGTTTGATTCTCCTTGGAACTGTTCTTAATTTAAATTTATTATTTTAAAACATATTTTAATGGGTTTTGTTTTTAAATTTCTTCCCAGCCATTCAACCTACACTCCTGAGAATTATAACAATTACCATCCAATTAGTAATCCCTCCAAATGACCATCCTGTAATTTCATACATTTAAAAGTTTAAACAGAGCCAACACCATGTTACATGTGCTTTTATGCTTCTAGATATTTTCTTCATAATAGGATATGTTTTTTTCTTCTTTTTTTTTTTTTACTAGGCATTTTTTAAATCAGAATTATAGCCTTTTTTATTTCTATATCTTATTAAAGAGATCAGTGGCTTATCCCAATTGAGGTCTCACTTGTCTTCATAAATGTGGGCTTTTAGGGGTCCAGAAGTTCTATACAGTTCTTGTGACATCAATTTAATATATCCCAGATTGATAGGTTCCTACAGGTTGGCTGTTAAGTGTCATAATACTGGCCACACTCAATGTATACTAATTAGGGCAAAAGAAAGAAAAGTATCCCAGTCAGTTAAGTGCCATTTGTGATACATACACTTGGGCGATCACGTCTCTTTCGAGTTAGACTAGGCAGAAAATTTTCCTGCAGTAGGTTTTTGTTTCTTTCTGCAATAGACTAGTTGCCAACCAAGGCTGTAGGACCCAGTCTGCCCTGCTATTCAACCCATAGCTGTGAGAAGAGGAGATGAATTTATACCTTTCTTAAGGGTATTTGCATGCAAGTGAATGCAACGAGCTTGACTGGAATTGAAACTCGGTTCTCCAATTTCTCATTCCCAGCTAATATCCATTACACCAGCCGCACATCCTAACATCTTGCTATTGCATCATTTCATAGTTTTACTGGTACAGAGTGCACAAAATGTATGCAGTCTTTAAATCTAGTCATGGGACCACACTCTTTGCCCCATTGTTATTAACTTTTATTAAATCTGAATGCCTTTTTCTGCTATAGCCAATCATTACAATTTAAACAAACAGATATACCAATAATGATACTTTTCACAAGCAATTCCTGTACTTGAATCTTTTAAAGTGAGGAAAAGCCTTTCACAGGACCAAGTATTTGTTGGGCAGCCTTGGGTAGTATCTGCCACTGAAAGATAATTATCCAGACATTTGAACTTATTTGAGGAACTGATAGTACATTAATCTGTGCAGGCCATTGTTAGTAAGTTTGATTCTCATTGAATCAGAGTGTCTAGACATGCAAGCAGATCATTTAATGGTTACATACATTTTTTTTGAAAATTCACTAGCCTGCCTATTCAATAATTATGATGTCACCTGAAAATGATGATTAAATCCAATAGCTATTTTAGTCTTTTCTGTTTATTAGCCATAAAAATATTACCCACCATGCAACATAGTTTTTAAAGAGTGTTTTTTTTCTCCCTCCACATTGAAAGTATAAAGAAAATCCATAAATAATTGATTAAGAAAACTACATTTTGTTTGGTCTGACAGCCATCTTTTTTTTTCTTTCTTTGTTTTAGTTGCTAACCTCCAAGAAGCTGATGTATTTTGAGAAATTGATTAACAAAGAGTTGAATTTCTTTTCATCTGTTCTCTCTTTTCATCTGTTCTCTCTTTTCATCTGTTCTCTCTTTTCATCTGTTCTCTCTTTTCATCTGTTCTCTCTTTTCTTTTTTATGCATGGGAAGGATATGACTCTAAGCTGTTTTATTAACCTTTTCTTTATTTTAATTTGA